GGACTACAAGTCCCAGCAATGCATTATAATAAAACTGAGCACTATATCACCAGCACCCCCCCCCCACACACACACACACTTCAAATCATATCACAGATCAGCCCTTCATTTGTTGCATTGTATGGCCCACGCTGTACACCAATCTCTCTGTGCACCATGGCCAGGCGGCTGTTACTGGGATCATCCTTACTGTCAGTGATTAGCCGATGGCTCATGGCAAGGTGGCTTCCGATATGGCTGTGTCTGTGTGAGTCTTCATTATTGCAACCAGCTAATGGGAGACTACCTCACTTTACATTAGTTTCATGTGTCTCCATGACACTGTAGTTTTCGATAGAGTAGATAAGAATAACAACCAATAACAACTTTTTTGTGTCCCATTGGAGAGATTTTGCTTCATTTCCTTCATTAACCAGAAGTGAGCATTGATCTCTGTAAAGGGAGAGAAATCCCCCTCAATCAGTTGTCACCAGAACAGGTGCCCCAATGGAAGATTTTCATCTATTCCTGACCCAGTATTAAATATTAGATTTTTCCTCACTTTCAGTCCCAGTGACAATGGTCATTAGGACAAATAGAGAAGGTGACTGTCCCCAGCAGGAATAAAAGTCAGACAGAGGTTCTAATACTTCCTTACTCTATCCAAAACACAGAAATATGGCATTAGATACACTTTAAAGGATAAGTGCACTTTAAAACAATGTACACTTATTCTTTTTGGGCCTTCCCCTGACCTAGAAGATTCTACCCTCCCCATTCACAGATCCGTACTTACTAAGATCCAACAGGCACGGTTCCCCTGTTGTTTACATTAAGCGCTGCAGTGCTTCAGTGCTCCCTCTGCTGGCCACACCTGCACAGTACAGGGCCATAGACTTCTATGGGTCAGCTCCCAGCCAGGAGACGGATGCAGTCTGCAGAGGGAGACTTGCAGCACTGGATATCAATGAACAACCGAGCAGTGGCCCTCAGATATTGGTAAGTATAGATCTGTGGAGGGGAGATGGTCTAGGTCAGGGAAGAGGGGCAAAAATAATGCGTGCACTTTGTCTCATTTGGATTAGGCTACACATGACAATTTTGGCAAAAATCCACTCCTAACAATTTTCCCTGGGATGTTTTGTGCACCACCTAAGTGTTCCCCCTCCATGTCTCTCTAAGTCAGGTGGGTGCACTGGAAAAGTGTCAGCTTCTGGGAACTGATACATCCTAATTTAGGCTTCAAGAAGAGAATGATGTACTTCAGGGTTGGTGAGTCAATTATTGTCTATCTTGCTCCCTTTTTTCCTATATAGACTTTTTTAGATTTGGAGAGAACATTTCTTTTTGGTGTCAGTTGGGTTAAAGTCACTGCAGGACCCGATTCAGTGCAGCATTCCGACACTGGAGCTATTTGTGGCATTCTAGACTTCCTTAAATGCTCAGCAAACATACAATGCTGGTTCTGTTGACTGACGGAAAGGTCAGCACTCCGTGCTCCCAACATCTGGGACACAGCTGCCTCTCAGCCGAGCGTCAAGTGCTCTTCTCTTTCACAGTTATGTGCGACATTCGGCCTGTCTATGTACTATGTCTATGTACAAGTCTATGTACAAGTCTATGTTCAGATCACGTGCTGCTTTCAGATCAGAGTCCTTGTAAGTTTCACAGGAGAATGAAAATGGCATGGACAAAAATGATGGCACCCATAACCTAATATTCAGTTCCAAAACATTAGAGGCAATCACTGCAAACAAGCCATTTCTGTAGCTCTCAAATTCACCTCCCAACGGGTAGTTTGGGCCACTCTTCTGGAGCAAACTGCTTCAGCTGCCTCGGGTCTGAAGGATGCCACCTCCAGATGGCATGTTTCAGCTCTTTCTATAGGTGATCAATAGGATTCAGATCAGGGCTTATGGAAGGACACTTCAGACTAGTCCATTGTTTTCTTCTTGGCCATTCTTGGGTGCTTTTAGCTGTGTTTTAGGTCATTATCCTGTTGGAGGACCCATGACCTTTGACTGAGACAGAGCTTTCTGAGAATGGGCAGTAGATTTCACTCCAGAATTCTTTGATTCTTGTGATTTCATTGTGTCCTGCACAGATTAAAGGCATCTGTCCTGCATTGTGTCCTGCATGGCAAATGCAGCAAAGCAGCCCTAAAACATAACCAAGATTCCTCCATATTTCACATTATGTAGTGTTCTTTTCTTTGAAAGCTTACTTTTTTTGGTTTGTGAACATAGAGCTGGTGTGACTTGCCAAAAAGCTCCAATTATGTCTCATCTGTCCAAGGGACATTCTCGGAGAAGCATAGTGGCTTGCCAATATACATTTTAACAAATTCCAGTCTGAATTCCGTATGTTTTTTTTTCAGCAGTGGTGTCCTGCTGAGTCTTCTTCCTTTGAGCCCACTGTCACTTAAAAAGAAGGTGTGATCAGACACTGATGTACTATGACCTTGGAGTTCAGCTTGTATCTCTTTGGAAGTTTTACTTGGCTGTTTTGTCTAAAATTCACATTATCCTTCTGTTCAATCTTGGGTCAATTCTCCCCTTCCGACCACATGTAGTGAAGTTGGCTATACTCCCATGGACCTTAAACGTCTTAATATTTGCAACTGTAGATGCAGGAACATTAAGCTACTTGAGTATGGACCTATAGTTTTAACATTTGACATGCTGGTCTATAATGTTCTTTCTGATCTCCTCAGACAACTCTCACCTTTGCTTTCTGTGGTCCACATTCAGTGTGGTGCGACCGATGATACCAAACAGCAGAGTGACTACTTTTCTCCATTAATAGGCTGAGTTACTGGTTACAAGACTGAAGAAATGGGTGATACTAGCTACAGAAA